ATCGGATCATTCAAATCTAGTTATTATTCCTTTTAGAACATACTAATAACCTATATTTAAAATTACAAAGTATGAAATAACTTAAAATAAAAATATATTGTTACAAAAGTCACCTCATAAGTGATATAGCTGAATTTTTGTGAGCAATAACAATTCAAGTTACATGTAGGCTATTGACCCAAAAGACCTCACAACTATTTTATTACTGTATTTTAATATGCAGTGGCTGATTGAATTGGAATATTCATAAAAAATCGAGTTTAATATATTACAATCATCGTGTGTATTAACTGTTAAGGTTCTCAGGATCATAACAAAATTAATGACATAGGTATAATATAACAATAAAAACTAAAGCTGGCACATATACAAGAGCTTTGATTTCTAATGAAGAATTTCTCAAGTGATCATGTCTACTCATCACACTGCCAATCACCTCAACACTCAAAACCTTGCTAGTCACACACAAACATTATCTATGAATAAGTAGACAGCATCCATTACCAAAAATGGATGCCACTTATATACGAGAATACATCTAGTGTGAGAGGACGCAAGCTTTTCACAAGATCTACAGAGGTTGGAAGAATGAGCTGGGTAAACCGAACCACTTGGGCAATTCTCCAGTAACGCCCTAGAGACATACCTGGGAGGGCAGTACATACATAAATACCTGAAATGTACACAGAACAGGAATGTAAGATGCTGGTGGAATAACTAAAGAATGTGCTGGAGGGGCTGCTCTTGTATGGCCCATGGCTTGAGGGCTTGGCTTCATCTTAAAAAAAAGAAAAAAAAAGACAATATACGGGCACTGGAGGCACGGCGAGTCATTACAAGGCTCGTAAGGTATGGTGGATGGTTCACTGGGGCCACAGTGAGTGTATGTGAGTGAATGTTAGTGTACGTGTACGTATGTGAGTGTATGTGAGTGTATGTGAGTGTATGTGAGTGTGAGTGTGTGAATGTGAGTGTGAGTGTACGTGTGTGTGTGTGATGAAAAGCCAACCCAGCTCAATAGCTTTATCAACTGTAAAACACATGGCAATGGTTTTTCTTTTAAAGTTTAAGACAATTCTAAACCCATATTTTCTTACCAAGGATAGCAATTTTGGTCTATATGAAAATGCTAAAGAAATGCCCAATTCAATTCAATTTTATAATTATATATGCACACACACAATTATTATATATATATATATATATATATATATATATATATATATATATATATATATATATATATATATATATATATATATATATATATATATATATATATATATTATATATATACACACATACATACATACATACATACATACACATATACCCACATAGTTATTTATTTTAAAAGCAGTCATTTTGTGTAGATTTCTTATTAAATATGACCAAAAAGGTTATATCGATGATTAAAGGATGAATCATCTTTATACTGTACTTTATTTCTCAGGCTTCTTCACTTACGAAGGATGTTGAAAAATTCTCTCGCTAAAGTTTCTATACTTTTAATGGGTCTCATACATCATTTCAGTCAGTAACAATTTATCATCCTCAGAGGCAGAAGGAAAGCGACTAAAAAAAGAACAAACACAACAGTTATTTGCCAAATGGTGTGATGAGAGGTGGTTACCCTATTAATATGACTGGGTAATCTGGTCCTACGTTTTCATTGGTTAATTGGGTGGTAGGAGGGATGTAAAACTGGCCATTCTCATTTGTTTGTGTTTATGTAAGATTGTACCGAATGTGTTTTGTTCTACGGTTCCCCCCTCCCAACATCAATCACCGGCACATGTACTTGGCAGCTCCCCTGAAGACTGTTAATCACACTTGCAATTCCCAGAGGGTGGTAAGAGTAGAATGAGGCGGTCTAAGAAGACTCCATCCCATAGCCTCCTTTTCAGGGCATCACCCTTAACATTACAGATAGAGTATAGAGTTCAACCAACCCAGTGCCCATTGTATATATCTCCCAACTCTGCACCTGGTGCAGATGCCGAATAACTGGGGAGACTAGGATACCCCGCATACTGTTAAATTCATTCAGGATCTCAGTTGTTCTCGCACATCAGTAGCACCACCTCGGGTATACAGCTCCCTGGAATCTTGGCTGTTGTTTGGTGTAGACACTTTCTCCAGCTTAGCCTCTCCCACACACTTATGCCCCAGTGTGTATCAGTTAAGATTCAGTATAAGAATTGGACATCGGTAAATAAACACACTTATGCCCCAGTGTGTATCAGTTAAGATTCAGTATAAGAATTGGACATCAGTAAATAAACAGAGTGAAGGCGATACAAATGCAGCATATAAAAATGACATTTAATGAAAATAAAATAAATATTACTCCGTAGCTGCACTAGACTTGTCAAAATTAGAAACTGGCCGCACGTGGTCCCTTTAAACACAAGCGTTTACTTTACTGTATACAATTTCTTAAAGTGTTATAAAACTAATAATCTAAGCATCAACTTGAAACAAGTTACTGAGACAATTATGAATAATTCTATATTTACAGTAACTGTTATCTCATAATTAGTGAGGGCTCAAACTGAAGTACAGAATAAAGCCATCACTTGGCTATAGCAATTAATTTTAATTCCACTAAACCTGATTACTTTCATAGGAAATCACACTGATAAAATAAATCACAGAATCATTAGCGCAGTCAAAATGTGTACAAGAATAGTCTAATATTGTTCCTCAAAATGAAACTAACTCAAGGGAGGGAAGTTACTTAGCTATGATAATGGTGCTGACGAGGATCAGCCAACTCCCAGAATCCTTTTAGCATGCAAGCAGCCAGAAACTGCGGCCTGCGACTCCCTCTGGTACTTGATAGAATGGGTTCACCATTTCCTCTTGCACTTCTTGACCGTAATCTTGGCTCTTTGCCCATGTATCCTCAGCTGGACCAAAGACTCCAACATTCCTTTTTCTGGGTGACTGGATAATATGGGGGGACAGTGGGAGGTAACATGGTGGATCTGTTGCTGCCTCACCACACGAGTTACATTCCAGTAACCAATCTACCTGCCGAAAAGTGTAAGTAACTTGCGTGTGAACTTGGGACTCCCAAGGCCCTCCTGCAATATCATGTCATTGCAGACTTTGTTGCTCTTCCACCTTGCTAACACTACCCATGTCACTGGCATTTAGCGGCTCTATACCGAGACCACCATCTTAACGTGAATATCACTGCCAACTGACTGTGCTACACATAAGTTGATTTGTTACTGGGTCACTGCACTGCCCAGACTTGCTGCCACAAAATTCCTCTATAAGAATTACAGACTTAACACTTCACTACTTACTGCATTGTCCTTCACTAAGAATGTCACAGATTGTTTATTTAATGATCACCTCACTTCACTGTTCTAACCTTTTGACTTCTTCAAGTCGGGACTGTCCTCATTATTATGCAGATTATAGAAGTAGTAGGCTGTGGAGCAGTTCTACAAAACTCTCCGCACTGAATAGTACTACATAGCCACATTTTGAATTCAAACATGGTCCCAGAGCATTAGCCAATGTCAAGCTACAACTCTACTTCTGCTGTTTTTGACTAATCGACATAATACACCTTGCAAAGGTTCACTAGATTTCTCCTCGCATCTTCCCAGAGGTCCTCGGCACTCTATCTAGGCTCAAATGAACAAATCCACAAGGGCCGTGACGAGGATTCGAACCTGCGTCCGAGAGCATCCCAGACGCTGCCTTAATCGACTGAGCTCTCGGACGCAGGTTCGAATCCTCGTCACGGCCCTTGTGGATTTGTTCATTTGATGCATCACGCAATTGTGATTTCTGTGTGTATCTAGGCTCAACGTGTTTGGTTTGCATGTCTGTAAATTTCTGCAAATATTCAGGAGCAAGCCATAGCACGTCCTGCTGCACTGACAGACAGGGAAACAGCGAGGTGTCATACCGGGTTCCCGGTGTCCATCCCCTGGCTCCTCAGGCATGGAGGTGTCCATGCCCTCGCTCCTCAGGCACGGAGGTGTCCATGCCCTGGCTCCTCAAGCACAGGAAACTCTGCTCGAGTAACATCACGCCTACCATATTGGGATAATGGTGGATAGGTTATCCCCTTAAGAATTCCTTAAAACTGAAATTTCTTCTAAACTGTGGAACTTGCACACCTAATGATCATTGAGCCATCAAGTATCGGCACAGGGTGGGAAAAGTGCCTCATGATGTCGGGAAAGGTAAGAAAGAGATGGCAATTGAAACAGTTTGATGTAAAATGCATCTGCTATGACTTGTTTCTTATTGTCGGGGAATCTATCAAGAATAGAAGAGACGTAGCAGAAGTCCTTTACATTAAACATAATCCTTCCGTTATTAACGGCCTGCTCACACCTTGATGTTCCCTGCCGTCAACACTAGCAAGAGAGAACATTCGGTTTACACCTCATCTACAACACCAGTAAAAAGGCAAGAACCATACCTGCACGGAAAATATATTTTGTGCTTCGTTTGTCTTTTTTTTTTTTTGTTTTTTTTTTTTGATATTCACTTTCCCTCTGCCTCCGAGCACACTAAATCGTACCTGTGCAAAATGCATCAGGCCCATAAAATATGTAAAATATATTTTGCAGAGGTGAAAAATTTACTTCCTTTCCAAGTGATGGAAGAAATATGAAATAATGTAGAATTTTTATAGAATTATTGAATAACCCTTACTGACATAGGAGGCCTGGTCGACGACCGGGCCGCGGGGACACTAAGCCCCGGAAGCACCTCAAGGTAGCCTCAAGGTAGGTAGACATATTTAGTAATACATTTCTACAAAAATGACTCCTTCTAAAAAAATAATAATAATGTATATGTATATATATAACTATGTATATATATGTATATATATATATATATATATATATATATATATATATATATATATATATATATATATATATATATATATATATATATATATATATATATATATATATATATATATATATATATATATATATATATATATATATATATATATATATATATATATATATATATATATATATATATTTCCAAAATCCAATCAAAATGAGGACATTTGGGGCAACAAATTGTCTACTAACACTACCATAATGGCAGCCATTAGCAACTGATAATGAATTACCACAATGGCATGTCCTGTCTGTGAATGCCCCAGCTGCACTATAAAACACTCTTCAGGCTCCATTTTTCAAGTCATGGCTTTTAAAAGGAAACAAATATTTGTGACTAGCATAGGTGCACACTTGGCAAGGAGTGCCCAATTTTCGGATTAGTGGGCAATCATCACACCCATTACTATAAAAATGTTCCAGGTGGATGCTTACACTTGGCACAATGTCATGTCACCACCTTGACACAATGTCATGTCACCACCTTGACACCACAAACACCCTGCTGCTGACCCACTTGTCATGGTCAGACACTCGCGCACGCACACACACACATACAAACACATAAAAAACACTCAAGCTCCCACTTGCTGGGTGTTTGCAGCAGGATGAGTTCTTCACACACTAATCTCATAATTCATGTCATATGCAGAACGCCGGTCAAGATCTTGCGGAGTAGCTAATCGGTGGTCGGGTTTAGGGGTGTGAGTAGGGCTCAGGGCTCCTCCAAGTGACCCACGTTGAGTATGAATCACTCCGTGGTGGGAATCGTGAGGTGCCCCATGTGGACCTTGAATATGAGCAGGACCTCGTGAAGACATTTCTATGCTATCCATCATATCTAAAGACCTAACAAAAGACACAGGTCGTTTTTGACCAGGACTTGGTCTACTACCTTCTGTTGGGGTTGGAGGAGTTGCCAAACCACCTCCATAGTTCTTCCGTCTTATTTGAGGCGACTGTGGACCAACATAACTTGGACCAGAGTTGCGGCGCCCAACATTCATTTGTTGCTGAGGTGGATACCCTTGGTGTGGCTGGTGTCCCATATGATGAGTATAGGTGGCTTGGTGTGTGGGTGGGTAATGTCCACTATGAACACCAGCTACTTGGGTGTGATGTATGAGATGATAATAATGAGGTGCAGGACAGGTTTGTGTTGGACTTGTAGGATTTGACCGGTATTCTTGGGATCCACAGGATTGATAAGCTGTTCCAGGGTCATTTGGTCCACCTTGACAGTACTGTGGAGGCGACTGATCCCTCCATGTGTACTGGCCATGTTGAGGAGATCCAGCTAGCTCCTGAATATTGTCAAACATTGTAGTTGTACGTGGATATGAAGCATTTGGTTCTGATGGCTGTCTCATTAATTCCGATTCAGACATGTAGCGTCTCTGGGGCGAGCCATTAGAGTGAGCGGTATGAGGCGGTTCATAAGAGTACTGAGGATAATACTGTGGTGGTCCTCTACCTCCATCACTTCCAATGCCAATGAAATCAGGGCGGCGAGGTTGAGTAGGCGTGCTTGGATTTGAACGACGTAGCGGAGAGGACATGGCCAGTGGTGTTGGAACTCCACCCAGCTGCTTCATACGGTGATGCAACGTAGGAGAACCTGGAACACCTTGATATACTTGTCCACTGGGGCTAGAAGGCCCTGTACGTGGTCCTCCTGGCGCTGGTGGGGAGGTTTGAATGGGCCGTTCTGGGGAAAGTGGATCTGGTGTGGTAGATCGCGATCGTCCATCTAGTCCTCTGTAATAAAACGATGAATTACTATTTGTACTTAGATAGCACAATGATAAAGATCAAGTAGGAGTATTAGAGAAGGGTGTGAACAACAAAACCAATGGAATTTGTTAAATTTCATATCTATACTGATAAAAGTATTCTGATGGAGAAGAAAGCATATATATTTATATTTAAACTGGGGTTAATGTGTTGAAGACTACCTACATTTCTGGCAACTTTTTCAAATTTTCGAACTTATTTTATTCTATCAAATGAATATACAAATAAGAATGGATTACATACTGACAAAGTTTAATTTTTGTTTTAGTTTATGATCATGATGCTAATGCTTTTAATACAGTACTATACAGGTACTGTAGTTCTTTTGAGCCAGATTATGGTAATGGTTCCTGATAGGCAAAGATAAGGGTTCTAAGGCTTTGTGAATCTTCCTACAGTGTGGCTGGACCAGCACTTACCTTTGAATGCTACTGAGGAGGTCACTCCTAGGAAAAAAAAATCAATGGAGATGGCTTCTATAGGTGACTAAGGCCAACCATCCTACAGCCTAAATAACCTTTCATGTTATTAATCAAAACTGTTACACATTCTTAATAAACATTAGATGCAAACATTCCACAATGGTTATTTCTTATACCTACCCCCTCTGAAGGAGGAATTATTTGAATCTGTGTTAAATCCTATGCAGTAGGAATGATGCTGATATGGCAATCATCATATATATATATATGACTTTACCGAGCAATGAATAGCAATAAAAACTCACTACATAGTACTGTACAGTATGTTGACCAGACGACACACTAGAAGTTGAAGGGACGACGATGTTTCGGTCCGTCCTGAACCATTCTCAAGTCGATTGTGAGACCATTCTCACAATCAACTTGAGAATGGTCCAGGACGGACCGAAACGTCGTCGTCACTTCAACTTCTAGTGTGTGGTCTGGTCAACATACTTCAGCCACGTTATTGTGACTCATCGCCTGCACTGTACTGTATACTAAGTTGACTTCATTATACAACAACTAACCGTGGTCTGGAAGTGTGTGGAGATCGAGGTGGTCTTGCTACCTGCTGACTTGCGTTGGCCTTGCGTGGTGAGTCGGTGTATGGGTGATGGTGATGGTGGTGGTGATAAGCAGGGTGATGGTGTGGAGGTGGCGCATCCGGCTGGAAGAAGTTAGTCTTGGAGGGGTGACGAGGCAAGGGGGGTGTGGGTTCGCAGTCTTGACTTTGGCTCATGCCCGGTGGGGGCTGGCTGCCATCTTCCACACACTCTCCTCCCCCGCCTGCGCCGACACCAACAGACGACGATGCTCCAGCCCCTCCCCCCTCCACCAGCTACAGTTAGGGAGATAATACTCAAGTTACAACTAAGCCAACACTACCTCTAATTATAGCGTTAATTACAAAGTTAACAACAATAGCAGCTTGGACGAAATCGTAATAAATAGCAGCACTGAATACAGGATTTAAAAATAATATGAAGCAAAGCAGCATATAATAATGCTTTCACACACAAAAGCCGGCTTCATGATAATGGCTAAAGGAACTCTGGAAACAAACCCCCAAGACTGGACACTGCTTCTAATTATGCAACATTCACATACGCTGGCTTTACTACAGTGTTGTCAATAATAATACTGTACAAGGCAATGATGATGTAATCAAACAAGTCAAAGATTACAGCACTAACATCATAATAGTAATCGGTTCTGAAACATTCAAAATGCCAAGAAGCAAATTAGCATAGGCATAAAAGTGTGATAACAAATTGCCATTCCCTAAATGCTACATGGCAAAGGTTTCATTCTTCTGAAGACTGTGGCAAATAATTATTCTTTTACAAATGCACTCACATACAAACCAGTCTAAAAGCTATGTCTACTTCTTTTTCAAACCGAGGGTGCGACTGGCAGAGTGGCCATCATTCTGACCTAGCACCCTAATAGACCTGAACTCAATTCTCCTCGAGAAGGCAATATCATTTTCAAATTCAATTTATACTGGCGACATCGCCAAGATTTTGGTCTTCTGATGACTATTATAAAGAAATACTCATTTACACATGTGCAGGCATACGTTCACACAGCATGTGCACTCACAAATCTTAAATAAATACTTATGACTTCCAAGAAATCCATTCATGTGCCAAACATTTCCTACTCTGACAAATGTCTTTTACTCACTGATGTAAATCTTTAAATTAGCATTAACACACTAATGGATTTTATTGCCCTAACAATACAATGCATTTTATGAGCTAATACAACTAAATCCACAGTTCTGTATTCTGCAGATTTATTTAAATTTTTGCAAGATATATAATGGACAAAACATTATAATAACATTCAACATAAACCATTTTCTATGAACAATAAGGACCAATTGAAAAAAGAAAGAAAAATTCAGCATTGACTGCAATGAAATGCCTCTTTCTGGTAGGGCCTCAGTGGCTTCTCCTGAAGATAGTTTGCTAAGGGGTAAAGATCCACAAACGAGGAGTCACATCAGCCTTAGGAATCCTGAATGGCCTACGGGAACCAGAGTCAGAACCTGGGCCCCCCTCCCCCCCCCTCCCTCACAGCAGTACAGGGAGCTGGGGATTCATATAATCATCCTCACCATTTTCACGGAGTGAACCATCGACGATGCATCCTTCCATTGCTCTGCGAGATGTTTGGTCGCCCTGAGATGGCCCTTTTCACGTTGGAGTGAAATTGGTGGCTTTTCTCTTAAGTGGTTCTGGTCCTCAATTGCAAGCTTCTCGAGATGAAACTCATCCACCACAAGTGCTTGAGGTAGGGGTTCTTCTATCACTTCCCACAATCCAGCTGTTGCTCTGGATTATGGCCTAGTTGAGGCAGAAACAAACATGCAGAGTTTCTTTCACCCCGATGCTCCTGTTCACCTAGCAGTAAATAGGTACCTGAGAGTTAGACAGCTACTACGGGCTGCTTCCTGGGGATGTGTAACAAAAAGGAGACATGGTTGAGGACCGGGCTGCAGGGACGCTAAGCCCCGAAATCATCTAAAGACGACTTCAAGGTAGAGCTTTGGTGATTCCATTTTGTTTCCCTTCCTTCTAGGTGTGTTGGTTCATTGTCCTTCAGCTCCAGACTGAGGGCCTGATGACGAGGAACCTGCGAGCTCCAGGTGGTGCTGCCACCTACCGTTAGCCAATCGTAAACAGAGGGTCCGCATTAGCTACCAAGTGAATCATTTGCAGAGTCATTTGCTGCCTCGGTTCTTTTCTGTGAATCTTGCAGTTGTCTTTATTGCTTCGCATAGTTCCTGAATGTTTCTTTGGAGATGGCAATTGTAAGAATCCTCTTCTCCCTGTGTCTCTGAAGGCCATGTTCTGGTTTTGGTCCATAGTAAGCCATTCACGACTCCTAAGACTTACGTAACTCATCTGTGTGGAGGGGTACTTTAGCAATGTAGCTTTAGGGAGCGACTATTTGGCCCCTCCAGAAAAACAGATCATATTGCACTTGTTAATCAATAAACTCTAACCACAACCTATTTTCAAAAAGCTCCTTTCTCAAATACATTTACATTTCACTAGTGCAAAATGAAACCAATAAATTCCAACATACTCTTCAGAGATATGGAAACTAACTTAAGCTTCTATGCTCTCTGTATACATGTTCGTTACCTTTATTGTTCAAGTAGTAATTACAGGTACAACCACCCCAATATTGGTCACAAATACATTATAGTATTTTCTTTTTTAAACATAAGTGGGAACAGTAGATGGTTCTCAGTTAACCCTTTCTGCCCAGGGCTTGAACAGAATGAAATTGCTTGCACGACACGGGTGAACGTCAACCACTGTGCCACACAAAGTTTAAACACTGGACTATCTCCATCGTTTACCATTTACTTTCTTTCATACTTCTGTTTTGGTATACACTGTACATTTAAATCTTAATTTAAAAGTAATGTTAACCTTCCCTAACTTCCTCACAACTATTAAAGTGTGTTTTGGTCAAGTTTCAGGAAAGTTCTCCTTTCATACAAAAGCAAATCTATAGAGTATTTAACTTCCATTTTTAAAAACTATTGTACAATATTGCTTATCTTGAAATGATTCCGGGGCTTAGCATCCCCGCAGCCCAGGTCCTCGAACAGGCCTCCTTGATCCTAGCTTCCATCAATATAAAACACTGAACTTAGGACAATCATTGTTTTTGTACCCCCAGAAATGACTATTTTCTTTGACATAACAGTGCACTCTTATGAACATTACACAATGACAGAGGCAAATGGTCCTATTGGCTGACACACTATAATCTATGCAGAAAATGTGTACTGTACTTATGATACATGTATCATATTTGTATGTACTGTATACACTTACATATTCAGTTATCACATATACATATAAAATATATGCATGTGATTGTGTGGGGGGTTGCAAACAAATCCATTTATTGTATGTGCTTGCATGTATGCAGATACTGCAACTAAACTGAACCATAGAGTAACACACAACAGAGGATGCAGGAACGTGTGCGGGGCAGCCAGGTGACGCATCATGGGGTGTATAGAAGTTAGTGGAAGATATATTAAAAAAGGGGGCAATGACAAAAATACAATTTTAATGTACTGTACTGTACCGTAGACGTTAAATTGTGATAGAAACACGTACATACACAATCGGCTAAAGTAAAATACAGTACTGTAGTAAGGATTAACCCTTAAACTGCGCATGGCGTATATATACGCCCTGAGTAACATGTCCCATGGTGCGCATGGCGTATATATACGCCATAGGGTGCCAGGCCTGATTCAAATGGCCCGCGGCTACACGGGGTTCACAGTAGCTTCCTCAGGGCTCTTGTAAACAGATGCAATTTAAAAAAAAAATCGTGGGCAATATTCTCAGGTGTGAGAGGCACAGTACTGTTGGAGCAACCAAGGCCGGCGCACGCAGCATGAGCGAACAGCATTGATGTTCAGCTTGTGACCACAGCATCGCCGAAAAATGTCAAAATAAATATATAATTGTTATTATTTAGCGATGACAATATTACAGATGACCAATGACTGTGATATAAATAACCAGGGTTGTGATAATAGCAGGATTGTTGTAATAATTAGCGCTGTGGGAGGAGTGATGCTGAGAGACGGAGGGAGACAGCATCGTTTACTGACTGTGTGGCCACCTGTTATTGTTTGCATTCACCATACCAGGTCAGTGGTTCTCTATGGTGAACACAAATGTAGATACTTATATATAATGTGTGTATTAGTGTATTAACAGCAAAAGGATTATGCTGGGAGGAGCCATATGGGTGACGGAGGTGACGTCGTCTGCACGATTTGTCTAGCTGTTTAGAGGGTGGCCACTATGCTCTTTGGGCGCACTACAAGCTTAGGTGTACAGTTACGGTGCATAAAACATGTAGATATTTATATATAATATGTGTATATAGGGTAATAACACTGCAAAAGGTATTGTTGGGGGAGAAAGTTTAGTGCGTGTGACCTTGAAAGAGTGAGGGAGCCGCCAGCCGCCATCTGTGTATAGCGACGACTCTTAGTGCCTGAACTAACTATATCAGCTTAGCTGTACAGTTGTGGTGAATAAAATATACACATACTTATATGTAACGTCTGTATATAGTGTAATAACACCACAACTGGTATTGTTGGGGGAGAAAGTTTAGTGCGTGTGTTGAGGGAGTGGCAGCGAGTGGCTGGCTGGTGTGTGGCGGTAACTCCTCGTTGCTTTTCGACTCTCAATACCAACTTAGTGGTTCGTTATGGTGACCAAAACATGCCAATACTTATATATAACCTGTGTATAGAGTGTAATAGCAGCAAAACTATTTGTTTATAGTTTTATAAACATAATAATTGAATCACTAATATGCACATCATACTTTTGAGTATAGCGATTATTAACCACTTTTATTATATAAATATATTACAATACACACTATTGAATAATATTACTGCAAAAAAACTAAGAAAAAATCAATCGGAGACATTGAAACAATTAGGTAATAATATCTTTGTGGCAACTCCCATCTGTCAACGCGGGTGACGCTGACCGGGTCTGACGACCGCTCTGTCAACGCCCACTTTTTGCCAGACTTCCTCGGTCAATTGCGCCCAAAATATGTCACCTACGATTTTTTTTTTATTTTTTCCGTGCTCAGGGGACACAAATTAACATGTTTAGAAGACGAAAAAATTTTTTTGAATTTTTTTTTTTCTTGCGCACAGAGGTGTAAATGTCCCAAGGACCCCTGAGCAGTGTAAGGGTTAACTCTCCCGAATCAACCTACCCTGGCTTTGCGCCCTGGTGAGGCCACTCCAGACCGACAACC